TACAGAATTTAAAGAGACAGTTAAGTATAAGTAGGTGCTTCTATAGTGTATGCACATTACCTATGTCTATTGCATGTTCCTGGTGCTTGAAAGGGCACATAGACCGAGTACATAGTTCCATACACCGCCATTGGTTCGATTCGTTGATTTATTACCGGAAATTAAGCGATAGCGTACGTTAATTTAAACAGCACGGCCTCAGTTTCCCCTTTAACGGGGTGAGTTAGTATTCAATCAAACCAATTTTGATTAACGTCTAGCCTCCTAGCATGGAACCTTGGAATAGGGGCCATACATCAACCGGTGGATATGGTCAGCACCCCTGCTGTAGTAACTCAAAGTGCGGAGAACGCGACAATCCTTGTTCGTACTTGAACATGCATACATAACAACCGAATGGAATCAATTTTTAAGCAAGGTTGAAGTTCATCAAAACAAGATAATCTATTCCGTTGAGAATATATACATGTAATATAGTATCGATTTTATTATGGTACAAACAACTTTTTTAGAGCTTTTCAAATGGTTGTCCTTGCAAGCCAAAGATAATAGAACATTTTTAAAGAATCATCATCATCATAACGTCGTCAGTTCTAAGACTGAGTTAATCTTCGTATTTCCCTAAAACTAGAACATCCTGCATCATTAACTTTTAGTGTCTTTAGTGTAATTATTAATAAAAATAATTAAAGAAAAACACTATTTAAACAATTAACCAAAATTTTATGCCAACAACAAATTAAACAACAAAACAAACAGATGGTAAAAATAAAACAGAACAGCCGAAACACACAAAGAAATAACAACAACAATAATAATAACAATAACAAAGACAACAACAATAGCAATGATAATAATAATTTATAACAGGAAAAGAGACTTACTAACGAGACGGTTGAATGTAGAGACACAGATGAATTCCTTTCTGATAGGGATGTTAGGAGTATTTATAGTAGGAAAATGTTAGTAAAAAGAGATAGAATACTCAAGATAGACAAAGACTGGCAATAGGGGTTGAAGACACGAGCTTACAGAAATACGAAGAATTGAAGAGGTTGAACAGTATAGAATTTTAGGTAAGGTAATTAAAGGAAAAGCCAGCTATTAGTACAAGGTGCATGCAGAAACGGTTGCAGTTAGATTTCTAGGTAAAGGTGATTAGGGACAATAGAATAGAAATAGAATGGAAACAAAGGCATGCAAAAGATAAGAAGTCGTACTCTACATTGAAGAAATATTATGCATTATGACAGAAATAAAATTAGGAAAAATATATGTACAAAATATTTACATAAAAAAAAACAATAAAAGTTCTTTCGCCACAAACTATTTGCGAACAGTAATCTAATCTAGGTCTCTAATCTCTAATATATCTCTGACTAGACCTTCATGCCTGAGGAGGTGTCCTACCAACCTATCTCGCCTATTCTTTACTGACTTCCATAGAGTCCTCTGTTCTCCTATTCTTTCTAATACCTCTTCATTTCTAACCGTCTCTATCCACGGTATCCTCATCATTCACCCGCATGATCAAATTTCGAACGCTTCTAACCTCCGCGTTCCTCTATTTCTTCTGAACCCAAACTGATCTTCCCCTAATAGTTCTTCCGCTCTTTCTCCAATCCTGTTCCGTACAATTCTAGTTAAGATTTTTGATGCATGGGATGTTAAGGTAATTGTTGTAAATGTGTCGCACCTATCCACGCCTCTCTTTTTAGTATGGCTACTGCCACGTTCCGTTTATAATCCTCCGGGACTTTATCGGTCTCGTAAATGTGACTAACTAAATTTCCGCTTGTATCTCATCTATACCTGGTGCCTTGTTATTCTGTAAGTTTTTTAATGCTACATCGAAAACTTCTCTTACTATGGGATAATCTGGCTCACCCATCTTCACACAGGCTCTGCGCATAGGTTCTCTAACTATTCCTTCCACCTGTCCGCCTTTTCCTCATTTTCCATCAGAATGACCTCTACCTCGTTTCTTATATTATTACTACTGTACCCTATTTCTCGAAAATTCCTTTTAATTATATATATAAGCCTCATCCGTTTTACCTACTTCAAACTTTTCTTCTACTACTTTACACATCCTATCAATTCACTGTTCCTTAGCTATTCTACACTTCCCAATTTTTTCCCACTTTATCGCCTCATATCATTTTTGCCCTTCTTCGTGTATCCCGTGTTTGTATTCCCGCCTCTCTTCTACTAATCCTACAATCTCGTTTGTTCTCCAGGGTTTCCTACTTTCGTTTCGTTTTTATTTTTAATGAGTACTTTTTAATTTATATATTGACATTTTGGGCAACTCGTGCTACATGTACCCCCGTGCTTTCCGCGTTTCACGTTTTAAGCTCGACGTATATATGTATGTTTATGGAGCTTGGTTATTTTATTTTGATTACATTTCACAAATAACCCTTATTGACGCTTTATGTTCCAACCGCCACTGCATGCCTTTTAGCGGTGGATATTTCGATGCGAGATCACGTTTTTAATGAATTTTTAGGCAATAAAACAACCCAATGGGACGCAGAACGTAGTACACTTCGTTCCGTATTTTGTGGCGAGCACACAACTATAAGCACACAGCAGTAACATTACATTTTCAGTTGACGTTTGTAAAAGGAAAATATACAAACGCAATTGTTTCAGTCTTGTCGCCACTACGACTATGATTAGTTAAGGTTAGGTTAGGTTAACGTCCAATTACGTATGTGTATCTACCCCTAAAGGAAGACGTCGGTAATCCACGTATAACAATTGATCAAGGGTCCGCAGAGTAGAGCTTTCTGAAGATACAAACGGTAATGTATTAGGAACCATTATCTAATTAATAGGAACGGGCACGTGCTTCAGTATGACCTTAGGTATGTTTAGTTATAAAAAGTAGATTTGTGCAGAAATAATTCTACAGAAAATCGTGTAAAACTACATCACTTAAATAATAACAACGTCAGCCACCCGGAGAGAATATTAGCGGATGGTTTAATATTCTGTAAAGCAGAAACGGGTCGGTTATTCGACGTTGTACGTTGGTGGATTGTACGTGACCCCAGCAGTGGTTAATTTTTTGTGCTTATTCCGTCACGAGACCGTTAAAATCCTTTATGTTCGCGAGATCTTTTGTGCGTGACTCTTGGTTGCTTTGCAGCATTCAACACTACACGAAGAGCTTGCAACAACAACGACGGCCGACTCGATTCGTGCATACAAAACGGTCCGCTTTTGTTGTACGAAATAATAAAAGATGAGAAACACACTATCGTCATTATTTTTTCTTCTCTTATATCTATACGTATATCGTGAGTGACCGCATTGCCTTCGGCCTTATTGCCCATCTACACCACTACATATGTTGGTACAAAAGTAAGTGCCTACGTCTACTGTCCATTTCCAAACGACATAAAGGACACCACAAAGCGCTGACGATGGGAAAATGAAACAACAATAAAACAGGCACGCGTGCTTATTTTGCTACAGTTATTATTACTACTTACCTTCGTTGGGTTTACATTTTTACTTATTCTCAAAGGGTGTTTAGTGAGCAATTCGCAAACACCAACTCACAGCAGACTGGAGAATTCTCGGAGATTACAGGAGACTTTAAACTGGTCTAGAACGTTTTGGTCAAAATGTATCAAAATACCCTAAATTAATGTCAAACTCAGCTTCATTACTTAAATAAACGTAATGGATCTTCAGCATTCCATACTCAGGTTTACTCTAGATTCTAGACATCCGAGAAAGTTGTAACTATGGACTACCCTGGAAACTTCCAGGAATATTGTAGCAGATACCTACATCCTTGTTATTCTAAATGGTTGTTTGATGGCGTATAGTCGAGCTGCAAATCCATACACATCAAACTAAAGTAGTATGGAGCAGTATAATCGGAGGTTCCAAACACATAACAGTTCTCCAATATTTCAGAACCTTCTCAATTTTTCTAGTCCAGTTCATATTCTGGAACGTTCTACTCGAAGACAATATTATTTATTCGAGAACATTCAAGCTAAGGGCAACGCTAGAAACATTCAAGATCATTCTGGTACATTCTCTCTTATTCTAAACTGGTATTGCGTGACTGATGGTAGACTAGTAAATCCACTCCCTCCAATTTTTCCAGTCAAGTTCACATTTTGGAACATTCTACCCAAAGACAATTTTATTCATTCGAGAACATTCCAGCTGAAGACAACGCTAGAAACATTCTTCTTTATTCTAAACTGATGTTTGGTGACCGATGGTAGACCAATAAATCCACACCCTGACTAAACTCTGAGAAATTTCACACTTTATAGGCGGTACCAAACATCATTTAGAACACTTCGGTCGATATACTTATGAATATGTTCTGAATTGACTACTTTTTAACCAATGTATCTTCAATTCCACCACAGCCACCGAGATTAGATAACAGTTCACAAAAAGTATATGGAATGGCAAATTGATAAAGGCTTGCGCGGCCACTGCGCGAACTGATGTCCTTTTGAGTCTAAAGAACGGAATTTCTTGGAGTTGTTTCCTATTTGATTTTCTTAATTCTCAATCAAATTACTGAGTAGTAGCTTTCCTTTTTCCCAGTTTACTTATTACCCCACCAAAAATCTTACAATCAAACAATAAAGGTAAGCATCAATAAGCGAATATGTTATGTATTTGATTAATTAAAACAATTTAACAAAAGGCAACAATTTGATATCAGTTCAGTTATACGTACGAGATCATTCCCTACTAATCTTTGCTTTTTGTGGCTTAATTATTGTTAGATGTACGTATTGTTCCCTTATTAACATCTACTTTTATTCAAAGTATTAATTGTACATACATGCATACATAATTCTGATTTCAGATAATTTAACTTAAATTGTTGTACACGTATCCTAATAATCATAATTTTACTTCTTGTGCAAATAGAACAATTTATTTTCTCTAGGCAAACAAATTCGTTTCTTTTTAATGTCACTAACGTCTTTTTATCTTTCTTTTTACAGAAATGACGTAATCTAACGAGTAAACAATGCGAGCAAAAGCGTCTCAAGCCGAATGATGTTTTTTTATATCTGCGAAGACGGCATTGCTAGAGGACAAATAAGGACGACTGTTATTATTCGTAGTGTAAAAGTTTGACGAGTGTGGTACAGTTGCAAAACCGACGCGATAGTTGTTATTACCGTAAAACTGTAAAAATGTGCACGCGTGAACCTGTTCGCGTACGCGAGTGTAGTAGTGCTTGTTTAATCGATTCGTAATTAATCTTCAAATTGATTGGTCAACGATAAGGTAAGAAATAAAACTGTAAAAATATTATCGTAAGCTAGCGGATTGTTGGCGTAGGTAAATGCATAGAAATAGAAAAAGTACATTATTAGGTATATGAAATAATGTTTCATATTATGTTGCATTGTTTAGCATTTGTGGTGCTTAAAAAATTATTGGTACAAAAATGGTAACTGAAAATTAAATTACAGTACTTATTAAAGGTAAAAGGGTCGTACGAGTCATGAACCTTTCTCTTATTCTTTCATACAAGAGTCAAAGAATAATATATGATAAAACTGGATGAATTCAAATAATAATACAGCATAAACATGTTGTTATAATTAGATAGACCTTTTATTTGTGTAGAAAATATGAAATTAATTGTTTCTGGTTTCAATTTCCTTTTTACCTTAAGTTGAATAATTTAACGTTACTATTCATTACTTTCAAGAAGTACTTAATTGATAATTCCTTTTAATCTAAAATTTTTATTGCTACATTTTCCTTGTCTTATTGCACACAATCGGTTTCTATAGAATTTATCTTAATCTATTGTGGTTCTTATAGTTCCAAATTAAGGTTACAGGCAACTACGAATTTTTCTTTTTGCTCTTGTCTATTAAGTCGTCTTTAAGGATAAAGGAAGCGATTATTAAAATTGCTGACGTTGCCAAAAGTACTGCACCAAAAACATTAACCTGCAAGAATAATTCAGTTAATACGTGAATTATGTAAAGTAAATAGTTGTAAGTTACATACTACATTAGAAACTTTGTCCACATCAAGATCATACATTTTACTGGATTTTTGTGCCAGAAAATTTACTCTCAGATTATAGTTTTATCAATTAATATAATAAATCAGTAGAAAGGTTTAAAATTTAAGCAATAAGTTGTACAAATTTTGACATTTTAGTGACAGTTCCATAGGAGAAAATTGCTTCAGTAAAAGAAAATCAAAATTCATAGAGTTTTTGACGTAAGAATAATGGCGTCAGATAAATTTATATTATTATTTAATGCACATATTTGAAAACCAATTTTGGATTCTGCTATTAAATTAGACAGGAAGTAAAATTGCTCAAAAAGAAAACGCTACCAAGTTTCTTCAAGTAGCAAAACTAACACTGATTTTGCAAGAAATATTGGATATGTTAAATTAATTAAAAAGAAATTCAGCACTTACATTTGATAAAACAAAATCCTTAATTGATGCTCAAAACACCATAAACCATTCTAGACTGTGTAACTGTTTAGTTTTAGGCAATATATGCTAAAACTACGTTTGGAACGTACTGCCAAGAGTATGGATTCATAACTAATCAATTTTACAATTGAAACCATTTGAAAATAAATACTTATGAACTTTATCTACACCACCGTCTTAATAACTTGTTCTTAAAGGAATTAAGAAATTGAATCTTAATTCTTATGTAATATTATTATGTATTTTGTTATGCCATACATTTGTATCTGATACTGTTCTTGATATATATTTAATATTTTATCCAATGCGCCACAAGGTAGTCTGCAATAACAGCTAAACGTATTTAATTACGGGCTTATTAAGTGAACCTCAACCCTTTGCTTCTTGGATAAATATTTGAATTTTACCCCGTTTCCTTCCTGTGAATGGTGTCAGCAAATACACCATTTTTTTTTTGGTTCGGTGAACTACACATCAAAGCGGTTAAAAAATGATTTCTTTGTTGGTACGTTTACACAGGGTCTGTTGTGGGTTTATTCAGAGGAGTTTAACCATTAACAAAATTTTTATTTAATACTCTTTCATGTATACTCTTAACGGTAGTTGTCTGCAGCTCTAAGGGTTATTAACGATGTGCTAAAGCACTTAGTTTTGCAAAACATTGAATTAATATTTTCCAGTGGGTGTTTTTCTTGTCCCAAATTTGTTTTTTGTAATTAAGCTGGGTTAATAATTTATAGAAGAATAATACCTATGCGATAACTTGTTAGAGGATCAATATGTTACTTATGGTGTGCTAAACCCTTTAACACTGCTTAATATTCAATTATTATTTTAAAGAGGAAGGTTTTCTTGTCTCGTTATAATTTTTTTTATCTAGGCACTATCTCCCTTTTCAAGTGAAATTGAACTAATTAAAACAACTTTCGGTAATATTTCCGAATGCGATGTTTTTCTTTGGAAGAGTTTTTGGTCGGTTCATAGTATTAACTTTTCGAAAATACCACAAATGGCGCGGTAAACGCCATCTGTAGTACAGTGCTACATTTTAGGATTACGTGTGCTCCAACAAGGTCCATTTAAATATATGAATATCTACTTGCTGAAACGAATCCTGGCGTAGCCAACCTCAACGTGATAGGCACGTTACCATAATCGAATAAAATAATTCGAAGTGGTCTGTATTCTGTCGAAACTGCCAGACGCGGATAGCGATTTCGATCTTTTTGGATCTCATCAGCGCATCGCAGGCAGCTCCGACAGAACACAGACCAACTTTTACCTGCTGTCTTAACAG